TGCAATCAGTTGTTCTTCATTTACCTGGAATTCGAGTTTGTCTTTGTTGAATTTTATTACGGCTCCCAAATTTTCCAGTAAATCCCTTCCTAGTAAAGGCTTTGGAGAATTTGGTAAATACAGAAATTGATGGATCCCCATTTGCTTTCCAATTTTGTATTTAATAGGTTTTAGGAAGTAAGCTTTTTCTGGTTGGCCTGTTGCTCCCACAACTTGTACAAATTCATCACTCTTTGGTACTAGTTCTTGATTTAAAACTGAAAATGTTGCTCCTGTATCAATCAGAAAGTCTAATTCTTTTTCACCTTCCCCTAGCTCCATTTTAACCAGTGGGTCTGCTAGGGAACGACTCACCGGTCCTCCTCAGTCACTGCTCTGATGTGCAATGGCAGTGTTTGCAGGCCTTTCTCTTAGCTGGGGGCAGTCTTGTTTCCAATGGCCTTTCTGGAAGCAGTTGGAGCATTGATCCGGTCTTACTCTGATGGGTTGGGGTTTGAATCCCCCTCTCCCCCTCATAGGGTAACCACGACCTCTACCCCTGGCACCTGCATCCGGGAATTTTGCGTTTTGAGTTGCTACTGCTACCACTACAACTTTAACAACTTTCTCATCCTTTTTTTATTTTTTTTTTTTTTTTTTTTTTTTTTTTTTTTTTTCTTCTCTCTCTCTGTGGTTGTAATTTTCCAAGCTTCATTCATTACTGTCTCTAAATTTTCATCTGCAAGATGCTGGAGTTTTTGCAGCTTCTTTCTAATATCTGGGTTACTCTGTGCCATCAATACTACTAGTAATTGTTGTTTGCCTGCTTTTGACGCAGGATCTAAGGGTGTATATTTTCTCATGGCAGCTCTAAGTCTGTCTAAGAATTCCGAAGGCGTCTCATCTCGCCCTTGTCTAACATTATAAAGAGCTGCCCAGTTAATTATTTTTGCTTTCTCTCCCTCCTTGTCCTTGGTTTTCTGTTCAGCAGTCCTGGTACAATATGAATAGCCAATCCCTTCCTCTTGATCGTTCTCTAAGCTTTCGGTATCTGTTTTATCTTTATGCTTTCTGTCTGCTTTTCTTTCATCCTTTCCTGGTTTCTGAGGGTTACTTTCTTCCCTATCTCTTTCTGACTTTTTGCAGGGTGCTCTCTTTCTCCTCCCTTCCTGATTCTAGCAGGCTACTTTCTTTACTTTGCTGGCAATTATGCACTTAGCTGGGATTTCTCAATCTGTCCCACCACGTCATACACAGAATATCTATCTATAATGTACTAGTTACTGCTGACAAATGTTAATCTTTCAAGGACAGATTCTCCCTGGACCTTTCAATTATTTGAGCATCAGTAATATACCAGTTGATCCAGGAGTTGTGTTCTTGAACTGGTTTCCAGTTGCAAATATTTTAAATCACTAGAGGTTGTACTCTAGTTCGTCTCTTCTCTAAATTGATTGTCTGATAAATTCTTTTACACTATCACAGCAAGCTCACACTTTTCCTAATTTACTTTCACTGTCTTAAAATACCTTTTACTTTGTCTCAGCACTTCATACATACAACATCCAGCTGCTTTATCTGTTTCTAGCTCTGCAATCGCTTCACGGTGATGCTGCATCTCCAACACTCACACACACATTTGCACACTTTTAAGTTCTTTAAAGTTTTCTATTGAATTACCACTTAAGAGCAGAATCAAACAAACTACAATTTTAACACAGACCAGAACAGCTTGTAAAAAGCAGCATATAAAAATGAAACATTACGAAGAAATCACAGTACATTATCTCTAGCTACCGCATTCCAGGAATTCTTCAGTAGGACTAGAGGTTTCTCCGGGTCCTAGAGCCCCTTGTCTCAAGAAAATCAGAAGGAAACACTCTCAAATCTTGAGACAGCTTAGAAGGGAATGTTAAGGACCATTAGTCTCCCAAATCTTTAAGTCAGACGCAACTTTAAATGCATTACTGGACATTATTCCACACAAAACAGAAAGCGGACGAGAAAACACAAAGCAAAAGCACTTTTAAGAAACACATTGCCAGACAATACACAAAAGCACAAAAGGTACATCACTTCTCATATAGAACTCTAAACATTTAGCAAAATAGTTGAGCAAAATAGTCTATGACACTCACAATATTTTACAAAATAGTCTATGATACACAAAAGGCAAACAAAACAATACAAATAACAATCAGAATGCCACAAGTAATAGAACCTCTCTTTTTTTTTTTTTTTTTTTTTTTTTTTTTTTTTTTTTTTTTTTTTTTTTTTTTTTTTTTTTTTTTTTTTTTTTTTTTTTTTTTTTTTTTTTCTCTGCTGTGTTGGGACTTTAACCCTTTTCTGGCAGGCCTCTAACCTGCTCTCTTTGCAGGACTCTAACCTGCTCTCTTTGCAGGACTCTAACCTGCTCTCTTTGCAGGACTCTAACCTGCTCTCTTTGCAGGACTCTAACCTGCTCTCTTTGCAGGACTCTAACCTGCTCTCTTTGCAGGACTCTAACCTGCTGCTTCTAATACCTGGGACTCGAACCCAGTTTTTAGGGCTAATGCCGAGGCGTCCCTCCGGCTCCCTTTTGGGCGATAGCGTCCTATCCCCACCAATAAAGCGCTTTTACCTAAAATATAAAAGATCAAATACCTCTTAATTTGGAGCAGGAGGTTCTTGTCCACCGTTGCGCAGATCCAAGGGGTCTGGGAGACTCTACCGACAATAATTCAGTCGGGGGGCCCCGAGAGCGTCCCGGCCCCTTGGGTCCTGGCTCAGGAAGACCCCCCCGTCCTGCCGCGGTCGCCAAGATTGATGCCAAATTTATGCCCCAAAGAAGGCGTAAAGAGACTGCTCAGAGACAGAGTTTTCAGTCTATAAGCAGGAGGTATTTATTTTCACGGCCGGGAAGCGGCCAGGTCGCCCTGGACAAACCGCTTCCCCGAGGAACTTACAATTTGAGCTTTTATACACTTTTTGCTAAGCAATTACATCACATATTATGAATATTCATTACATTGCAACATCTACTTTTAATATTCATAACAGGCGGAGTTGAGGCGGAGTTAGAGGCGTGGTCTTCAATTTGGGGAGAACTTTGGTGGTCGTTCCGTTCTTCCTTCATCATGAACCTGCTGTCCTCACCATCATCCTCCTCTTAAACTTTTGAACCTTCCCTAATTTGGGTAGTTTCCTCGTGCATTTGGCAGGGATTTCCAGTGTCTGGCAGAAGTTCCTGATTTCTTGGCTTGTCCCTTTTCTTATCTCCCTTTGTTTTCTTCCATATGTCCTTTTTTGTGTGTGCTAGCATTTCTAGTTCTCTCTGTTCATGCCCATGTTCCCTCATGTCAAAGTGTCCTGTATCCTAGTGGATTTATTGCCTCCACTGTTTCCTAATACTGAGCTCTATGTGCTTTGCTGAAAGCCTGCATTTGTGCTTAACTCTTCTAATCCTTACATTGCTTTACTAAATTCACTTCTCAGGTGTTACCTGGCTTCACCACTCATTACTTCAGCAATATCACAAGCTACAAAATAGAATTAATGAGAAGTATTGCCCAACTCCCATAGTTCACTATCTTGTTTAAGAAAGACCCTGATTTTGGTAGTTAAGTGTCATGGTACCTCACATCTCAGTGAGGCAATTAAATATAAGGAAGCTCATTTGTAGTGTGATCTGAAACACTCTGAGCTACTGTACCAGCTGAGGTTTTTCTGTTCAGGAACTGGACTCAGCAACTTCTACATTAGTACTAAAAGCATATAACTGTACCATAAAAAAGAAAAACCTCAATACAAGTTACCTAACAAAGGTAAAAAAAATTCCACTAGTCTTGCCTCTCTTATTCCAATGTACCTGCTTATATTTAGGGCATGTCTTCACCTTTTAAAATCGTTTTGTACCTTGTATCATATCCACCTTAGAGAACAGAGCTTTGCCTCCATTCAGGAAGTGTAAAGGCAAATGAACTTTTAAATTTGAAAGTTAAATAAAAAGGTCACTTTTTAGCTGTGTTGTAGCTTTTTGTGCTAATTTACAGCTGATGCTGTTGCATCATGTTGGAGGGTGGGTGTGCTGCTTTTTAGCCCTGTTATTAAGAGTGGCAATCTTAAATGTTATGCAAAAAATTTCGAGTTCAAAGAACAGGAATAGAGTAACAAAGCTGATCCAGTGACAGGTAGTTGTAGCATTCTTTGTACATTCCTCAAGGGAACTTGGTCTTTTAGTGATTTGCAGGTCATATCATCAATATTTTTGATATTGTTACACCATGAGACCTTTGCGAGGTGTTGCTCACTTTAGACCATCACTATGTAGTTTAAAATGATACTTACATACAGAAGGAAATTCTTTCTTCCTTTTTTTTTTAGTATTAAGACTTCGAGACCCACATTTCTGCTCATTACCACAAAATAAAAGTACTTACAGAGCTTTCTGAAATCACTCTGCTCAGACTGTTTCCAGCTGATGTGTAGAGATTTCTTTTGAATTGCTTCAACTGTGCTCTGAAATAATAGTGTGAGTTGTCAAAATTACTGAGAAAAACAGAGATTGTCTTTATACCTGTGTGTGCTTAACATTAACAACAGAAAGGGTGGTCAGGCACTGGAAGGGGCCGCCCAGGGAGGTTTGGAGTCCCCATCCCTGGAGATGTCCAAGGAAGGACTGGACATGGCACTCAGTGCTCTGGGCTGGGGGACAAGGTGGGGATGGGGCACAGGTTCCTTCTGTCCTGTGTGTCTTACTGTGACATTCCATCTGCAGTCCATTACAGTGTATGAAAAGATCAAATGGAGATAATTAATGAATTGCATATCAGTGGATTAGTCCTATAAAGTGAATATTTTAGTACTTTCTTGTTAGGTATTAAGCTCTTTATTGCCTTGGGTATTCATTAGGGCTCAGTACAGTGACTATGCTCACACTTCAAGGTTCCAGCTCCTTCCTTTTTCTTACTAAATATTTTTATTTTTCCAGTTCGTATACAGTGGAAATGAATTATTAAACAAACAGAAAAAGGAGCCAGACTAAAACCTGCTCACTTTTGAGCCAAGATCTTGAGGAACTTCTGAACTGTGAGTGCTACACTGGGGCACTGGCAAGACACTGTGATTGATTGATTTAGAAAGGGATGAAGGTGGTAAAGTGGAGGTACTTGGCTGGCAAAGAAAAGGAAATTAAATATGACGCCAGGCACATGTTTGGGTGTGTAACTCTTTAGTAGCTCTGTGCTTGTCAGATTTGGATTAGGACAGTAAGTTTGTGGTTCCAAATATGCAAATACTTAGATCTGCCTTGCTTCTGCAGCCAGGAGGGACCTGGTGGGCTTTCATAGAATCACAGAATGGTTTGGATTGGAAGGGACTTCAATGCTCATCCAGTCCCACCCCCTGCCATGGGCAGGGACACCTTCCACCAGCCCAGGTTGCTCCAAGCCCCCTCCAACCTGGCCTTGGACACTTCCAGGGATCCAGGGGCAGCCACAGCTTCTCTGGGCAACCTGTGCCAGGGCCTCCCCACCCTCACAGGGAAGAATTTCTTCAGGGGGAAGCCATTCCCCCTGTCCTGTCACTCCAGGTCCTTCAAAATAGTCTCTCCCCATCTTTCCTGTCAGTTCCTCCAGGTGCTGAGATGTTGTCAAAGGATTTCTCTGTCCCTACATTAAAATGAAAGATGTTTTTTATATGTTCAGGCACACTGATGGTTCTTCTAGAGTAAAACTGCAGGAGTTATAAAAAAAGGCAAATCTTTAAGTCATTGCATATGACCATTCCCCATATGCTACAGGAATACCTACAAATATTGGCAAGATTTTCCTTCCTAAAGGGTTTCGAGTAAAAACAGCCTTATGATTGTGGAAAGACTGTGCAAAAGTATGGGGAAAATAGCTGAAGGAATTCAACACCTCATTCTGGAGTCCATATGAAATGTCTGAGAGACTCTTAAACTTTATGCAGCAAAGGTGAGTTTTGCTAATATTAACCTGTTAGTGTTAACATTTTATAGTTGTTTTTCTTAGTGCAAATGTGTGTGTGCTGCAGGGGAGGTTTCAGAGTAGCTCCACTAGCACTACTATTTTTGGTAAACCAAACCAAAGGAGTGTATGCAGGCAAAATTCACTACCAAAAGTGAATAATCTCTTGCTCAGCTCCTTACAAGATTTGCCATTCATGCCTATTAAATGACAGATGGGAATTTACAGTAGAAGAACAAATGTTAAAATTATTACTTTTGACTGATTATAATATTTATAGATGTAATATTATTCTGTTATCTTACACCATGAGAGGAAATCTTTTCTTTGACAGATTTTTATGGCCATGATACACAATCTAATGTATTACTACAGTGAAAACCTCTAGGATTGAAACCAGATGCAATTAGATGAAAACCAGAAGACTATAATAGTGTCCTTTATTAAAATCATCCTGCTCGGTCTTATCTTTTATGACTTGGTGTTTTTATTTTTGCTCATTATTTTAAATCCTCTCAATTATCAGTCCTAAAATATTGATTCACATTTCTTAATTAAACACTTTTACTACTTTATTCTGCTAGTCTGATAACAAATTAACAGCTACTGAAGTGGGTTTAGTACTACAATCTTACAAAAACAAAACTCATGGAAAGAAATTTTCCACTTTTTTCCCTTGATTATTGTGGAGGGAATTACTTTAAGTGCACCTCTCTAGTTGTCTAGAAAATGAAAGACAAAAGGATTATTTTTGTTAACTTACAAGTGTTACCATGATACAGAAAGGCAAAAATAATAGGGAAGTATATAAATTATAGTTCGTTCCTAAGCACTCCTGCTGAGTCCCTCATCCAAAGGGAACTGATAAAAAGAGAGAGTAGATGTAGGATTGAAGTATCCAGCTGGAAATGGACAAAGCCAGTATTGGCTAAATCATTGGGTGCATAAACTATTGTAGACAGAAATCAAGTTTCCAGGCAAAATCTTAAAGTGATTTTTTTTTTCCTTATTGGTATTTTTGAGAGAGTGATGGAAGTCTACTTGGGTAAATATTACAGAATCCAGGATGCAGAGATGGTGATTTATTATTTCACCACCCTCTGAAGGATAATCTAAAAGAATCTGCTTTGCTTCCTACCTTTATAAACAAAGATTTCCCCAGCACTTTGTGCCCTTCCCGATTTTGGATAGAACTGTGACTGGTTTCTACTCTGGGAGAAATTTATCCCCGAAAATATTGATGTTTCTTGGCATCTACCAGGATGCTGAGAGAATTCCTGTGTTGTCCCAGACTTTTCCTGTAGGGTTTGCCATTCCCCTTGTTTTAACACCAATGCTAAAAATGGTTTGATATATTGTGAATTCAAACTGGGGTGACATTCCCCCACCCACCGTTCAGTCCAGAGGTTTCCTCCTGTCACGCCCCTTGATTCCTGCTCTGCAGAGAAATTCCATCATTTGCAAGCTGAACATTTATTTACAAGCAAGCAAAGAAGAAAAGTCCTGGTGCAAGAGAATGAAGAAAAGTTTCATATGGAGGGCATAGGAACAGGAGGAAAATTCTAAAGCATTAAGTTTTCATAGCATGGTAAAGTTCTTGCACAAGCACCTAATTTGAGCTTTAATTTATGTAAATAGGCTGGATACTTCTGCTGGTTTGACTGAGAGTCCTTTGGGGGTTGGGGGAAAGTGTCCTGGTTTTTTGTTTGGTTTTGCTTTGCTATCCTTTATATTTTACACTGGGGTAGAGGACTAAGGCCAGACTGACCTGTTGCAGAACCATTTTATTTCTTTTATTTTATTACTTTTATTTCATGCCTGACTACTTGCATTGCTATAAAATATCACACTTGGTTTTTTGCTGGCAATCTATTTTTTTCACTCAGTTGCCTTCAAACTTGCCCCTGAGTGTTTTACCCAATTACCACTTCACAGTATTGGTGTTTTCTCCCTTTCTTATGCTTCTCTGGTTTTTGACAGTCCGCAGGTACAACTATTTTTTCTCTCCCCGTGTGACTGAAACCAACAGCACAGACATCCTCCACCCCTCCCTGTTTTTCTATCCTTCACATCACTACAGTTCCTTTGGGGGGGGTTCCTTCACCTAAATCTGTTATGTTTTCTTTCAAATGCTGTCTTCTTTACCCCTCCATCCCTTTCTTCATGGTGAAAACCTCTTCCACGACTTCAGGTGTTCTTTCCCACAAGCCTTTGGAAGTCTTGTATTTGTCACTGCTCTCCCTTAACAGAAAAAAGGATTTTATTCCTTCCTTTCTCTTTTTCAGCAAGTGACTGTAAATGCTGAATTGCCTGAATTCACCGTTTATTTCCAGTTATGCAGTTGTTTACTCTTTCATTTTATATAGAAAAGGGATGTTAAGAAAAAATGGTCAGTTTATTTTCACACTCGAAGAACTAATAATCGCATTTTTTTGATGTCATGGACTTACATACACTTCATTTTTAGGGGTAAGCTACTATTTATTTGTTGTTAATAAGTAAATATTTACCATTACTTGTTTGTAAGAGCAACAATTTATAGGAAGCATGTTATATATGGTCTCTAGTACCAAGCTGTTATACTGTGAGGTGTTGTGGGTTCTTTTTTTTGGGGGGGTTGGCTTTTTTGGGTGCTTTGTTGGAGGTTTTTTACATCAATTCAATATATTGTTAAATAATTTGAAATCAGTTCTTCACTTCTCTTCACTACTGATCAGAATAGTTGTTTAATATCTACTTCAACATTTTCTCTATCAGACCCATTTGGAATTCTTCCAGAAATGTTGGATAATATATAAGACACTGGATGTTTTATTCTGTTATACCAGTGGGAAAGAAATAATTATTTTTTTACGTCTAATTCAGTAACTATTAATCCAGTGTTGAATAATAATTTTAATTTCAATTTCTTGAATATATTTATTAATTTACCTCCTGCTAATATGCTGCTTTAGATGCCACTGTTTTGAATTTATTTCTGTACTTAAGTATCATTTGCATAATGGCATTAAGAGGTCCACTCCTGAGTATTTGGTGGTGGGATGGCAGACAGAGTGGATAGGTTGTAATTAGTGGCATCTGACCTTCAACTTCATTAATATGCAAATAGAAATACCACAGGGTGCAAAAGCATGGTGCTGTTAAAACAGTCCCTTCTGTGTTTGTCAGATATTTCAATCTTGGTGGCTTAGTTTTTATTTCTTTCATATAATACTATATTATTTTATATAATAATTTACCCGTCTAGAGGTGTGTATATAAAATTGTACATGTGGAGGAGCAAAGGAGTGCTCACACTAAAGGGGAAAATTAAGTGTGCACATAGATAGTTCTTTGGTTTGTTTTTTTCACATGACTTTTCTTTCCCTAATGACCAGATATGTCTGAAGCATATTCAAAGATAAGAAAATGGATATGAAAAGTTTTGTTGTAGAACTACCATGACTGACTTTCTAACAGGGTTTTATAGAAGAAAGGCAGGCAATGTCTCCCATTGTTTTGTTCAGATTCCCCTGCTGCAGCTCAAGAAAACGGATTCGAAAATATTTTTTTTGTCAAGTTTATTTGGGGGATTTCTCTTCTCCATCTCCTTGTGCACTGTATGTGAATAAGCCACACATCACAGAATCCCAGGATGGGTCAGGCTGGAAGGGCCCACAGTGGCTCATCTGGTCCCACCTCCCTGCTCCAGCAGGGCCAGCCCAGAGCACAGGGCACAGGAGTGTGTCCAGATGGTTCTGGAATATCCCAGTGAGGGAGACTCCACACCCTTCCTGGGCAACCTGTTCAGTGCTGGGTCACTGCACAGCAAAGAACTTCTTCATGTCCAGCTGGAATTTCCTGGGCATCAGTTCCTGCCCGTTCCCTCTTGTCCTACTGCTTGCTCTTGATGCCTGGGAAGAATTTAAATGAATCCACTAAGATAATATGCCAAGTATTTCATTTTTCTTCAAACCAAGGTTCTTAATTGTTTAGCCTACTCACTTATTTTTCAGACTGCCTCTTTACTTTATGGAGACAGCTTTGACTCCCTTTTAGGTACTTTATGGGGCAGGGCATCAAGAGCAGTGTGGGCAGCAGGTTGAGAGAGGTGATTCTGCCCCTCTGCCCCCTCAGGTGAGCCCCCCCTGCAGAGCTGCTCCAGCCCTGGGGAACAGCACAGGAGGGACATGGAGCTGCTGGAGAGAATCCAGAGGAGGCCACAAAATTGCCAAGGGGACTAGAGCAGCTCCCATATGGAGACAGGATGGAAATGCTGGGGCTGTTCAGTCCGGCAAAGAGAAGGTTGTGTGGAGACCTCACAGCACCTTCCAGTGTCTGAAAGGACCTGTCAGAGGCTCTTCATCAGGAACTGGAGTGACAGGACAAGATGTAATGGCTTCAGACTGAAGAGGGAAATTTAGGTTACACATACAGAAGAAATTCTTGGCTGTGAGGGTGGGGAGGCCCTGGCACAGGTTGCCCAGAGAAGCTGTGGCTGCCCCTGGATCCCTGGAAGTGTCCAAGGCCAGGTTGGACGGGGCTTGGAGCAACCTGGGCTGGTGGAAGGTGTCCCTGCCCATGGTAGATGGTGGAACAAGATGAGCTTTAAGGTCCCTTCTGACCCAAACCATTCTGTGATTCTATGATAATAAAATTGTGCCATTCTTCAAAATTTCCTCTCCTTTGAGTACTTCATCTGTTATGAGCTTATTTAAATGCTGGAGAGGTGTCAAAAATGTTTTGGGTTTCATTTTAAGGAGTCTATTTTTGGAGGGTTAAATGACACGTTCACATCCATTCCAGGCACATACATCACTCAGCTGTATAAATCACACTGCCAAAGCTCACCCTTCTCTGTGGGCACAGAAGAGTCACAACAAGTTCTTTTGGATCAATAAGCAACTTCTCCCTGGAAACTCTCCTCTCTCAAGTGGGTACAGCTAAATTGCTGCTCTGTAGCTGTACCCACATCAGCCTGACAGAAAGCAAAGCTTGGAAAGTAAGCAAGAGACTGCACAGCCAGGGGGTGATCATGTGTTTGCTCCCTGGAAACAATATTATTAGTGTTTAGAACTTCCTAACTCGCTCAGCTCTTGCCGAGTGCACTTGCTCTTTGGCACAATCAGAAAAGGTATATTTAATTGTTATTCAGTGAAGCAGAATTGCTGTGCCTGCTCTTCCAGGCAGGATCAGCACCGTGTGATGAGCAAGGAGGGTTTGTTTCATTTCTCTCACATGTGAAGGGACACTCAGACCATCCCTGGTCTGTACGTGGGATTTTCCCTTATGCTCTTCTACTACTGAAGTAGCTGTAGTTTAGATTAGTTTTAAATTAAAGAGGTGTAAAGTTGTGTGAGGAGAAAGATGAGACTTAGAAAAAAAAAAATCCCATATTTCTGCTAATAACTGAGATTCTTTG